CCTACCAATATTATACCAGTTATTAATGTTAAAAAATCCACGTAAAATATCTTAATATTTAATAAAATAATCTTAAGATCCCTTTAAGCGTCAAAATCGATCGATTTTACTATTATTTAATTGAACTATAAAATTTTTGCAAAAAATAACTTGACTCCTATGAAAAAATGTGATGTGTAATTTTATATTTTTTACTTATTAGAGCACTTTAGCTTCTATAGTTTAAGCTAAGACACTCAAAGATAATTAAGCTCTAGCTATCTTAAATTGGGAGTTTTCGACTCTGAACTTTGAAATACGACTTTTCGAATCTCGTGCTGTTTAAGTTCAATAATTTATCAAGCTGTTAAATTGTGAATGATGCGTTTCTGATTTTTTTGTCAAGTAAAACTATCAAGTTGAAATAAGTGGAGGTAGATTTTCACAACAATATAATTTCTCAATTTATGAAGAAATGGTATAAGAAATATAAATTTAATACCTCCAAAGGAGAATAAGAGGTGTTACCAGATTTTATCTAGCGGTTCGGAGAGTTAGAGGCTTCTATTATAGAAAGGATTCTACCACTGGCATTAACTGTTATAGAATGTCAAGGTAAATATTAGCAAGTACTTAACCGTTAACACTTACTGAATTAAATATTTGTCAGTTATTAGAAGTTACAAAAGAATTCAGTTTTGACATCAAAAATGGGTGTTCATCAAGTGACTAACGAACAAGGACTCTTAAATGAACTATTAACGAATATTCGTTTGTTATTAATTCAAAGCTCTGAATAATGGTTACTAAACCAACGATTAACGACAAGTAATCCCTTTTATCAGTGACAATTATATCATCAGAATTATGGGACTTTCGGTGTAAAAATTTGCATTACAAGAACGACAAGCTTAGGACAAAAGATTTTGGTTCTTGTAGTAAATAGAATACTGCTCTGAAAAGTAAGTACTGTGGGGTCGAAAAGCTTACGTTGTGGAGGTGAAGGAGTTCGAAAGCTGGCGTGATAAATTTTGTAATATTTTAAAGATTTTGGCTACAAAATCTGTGAGGCTCAAAATTTTAAATTCAAAGGAAATAAGTCAAAAAGTTTATACCATCAGAATTTGAGATAAATTATTTTTTATAGATATTCTGATGAAATGTATATATTGGCATTAATATATTACTCTGCAAACATTTATTGTCTCAAATTCTTATGTTTTCCAACCTGTAGATTTATGATCATAATAACCTAGGATTACGAGATTGTTTATAATGCTTACGTCATCAAGTCACGAAATCTTTCCTCATACTAAAAATATCTTATGAAGTTGGAAAATATCTTTATGTAATGTGCTTTAAATTTTGTGGTCCTGAGTAGATGATTTTGATGGACTTAATCTTAGATGCACGTTAGTTCAATATACTTGGGTATGATGGAGAAAAAGTCGTTTGGTTAACAAGCTGGTAAGTCATCGCAACAATCCTACTCACGTAACATGATGACCATCGTTAGAGCCGTAACGACCACCGCTGGAAGAGACAGGATAATCGTAATCGAGATGAGGTGCGCGACCAGCGGCTGCCGGGGGTGCCGTTTTGTACCTAAATTATGTGCGATAACAAAAAATCAAATAAAAAGCCGTATAATATCGGATTTAAATTATTTTAACGAACTTGGCACGGTTAGTTTTTTTAAAAATATATTAAATTCAGTAGTTTATCGTCTGTTCCGATTTATTTTATATTTAGTCGGTACAAGGTTGTATCAAGGCTGTTGACGACGGTGGTTAGTTTTAGAAAAGTTGATTAACATCAGCGATTTAAGGTCAAAAATTTATGTATAGCTTCTAATTGCTTTATTAAAAAATGAACAGCCAACGAACGAATTTTCATGCAATTTTCAATAAAAAAATTGTTTCAAAATTCAATTGAGTAACACTATTTAGTCATCAAGATGTTTCAAGAAAATCTTATGGAAGTAAATGCTCAAGCTTTTCATTTTTTTTTTTTTTTTTTTACAGTAACGCAGTGTTTAAAGGTTATATTTATTATTTTAAACCCATAGAATTTACCATGATAATCTACCACCAGTGCTATTGAAATCACACTGGTTTTAAATGTGTTTTCGGACTATTACTCAAAAATTGAACACAATGGATTATACGCAATATGAATTATTATGCTTCATTTTCATAAACAAAAATAAAAAGATCAAACTCACCCATAACTCTGATCCATAGCTACCCTAGCACGGTCCAAAATCGAGAACACCTTAGTCTTGGCTGGGACAGGTCGAGAAACTGGTGGGCGGACAGGTGGCGGTGGCGGCAGGATGGCTGTGGGATTAAAGTTTAATATTTTGTAAAAATAAAATTGAAAAAGGAGTGAAGCTTTTTAGAAAGGCAGGGTATTGAAAGTACACTTACGTCTGGCAGCACCACGAGGAGGAGGTCCAGGGGGGCCTGGTGGTCGACCAGCGGGTCTGAGGATGCCTCCTCGACCAGTTGGACGACGTTCCTCCATAGGCTCTTCACCACCGAGTTCCATCTCGCGCATCTGTTCCTGGCGAATGACGTCGTTGTTGTCGGGTATCAAGTACTTGCGTACCTCAGCCAGAGCGAAGGCAATACGTGCGTGAGCTTCGGCTGGCGGGGCCAACGCCATTATTTCGACGTGCAAATCATCGAATAGATGTGCGTACTTCGGGTCCATGGACTTGCGAAGGTCTTCTTCCTGGAAAATAAATTATCGAACCGGAGATCATAAGATTGTGTCATGGTGTAAAACTATTGCGTTTTTATGTATTTGCTAATAATAATCTAGTGCCTTTTTTACGTTCACTACAAGGAACTACCTTGCATTTTTGTCCGAAAAAAAAAATTGTAAGCAGTATTATTGAGGTAAAACTTTTTACTAACAGAAGGTTAATGATGAAAGCAAAAGTAATTTTGTAATGACAAAAATTGTCCTTGAAGTTTTTTTCCATATATATAACTTTTTTTTAATGCCCATATTCTTAAAAAAAAATAATTTCTAAAAAAAACGGAATTAAACTTATTTAAGCGAGAGCAGCAGCTCAGTGTGAGAAATTAAAACTTATGCAGTGTTCTAATCTAATGAATTTACAAAAAACCAACATTTTAACGTAATTAGATCATTTTTGTCCCAGAGTCTAATCAATGAATCGCACACAATATATACACTAAACCAGAATCTTACTCATCCCTTTTTAAATTTTGTTGTTTCAATATTGTCTTGTTGAACATTGACATAATGTTTTTGACCTTAAATTCCTATTTTACTGACTTAATTATTCCAAACTAATTGAAACAAGTATAATAATTTTTCAATTTAACATCGACGAACATAATTTTTCATACATACTTTGAACAATTGTAGTGTTAAACTGACTCAAAGACTAGCTCCTCATTTTACTTAAAACCTTCAGGGAATAATAATATGTATTGCACAGCTTTGAAAGCTTAGGAATAAAAATTCAAATGCAGGCTTCATATTAAGCAGTATTACTATGTTCTTATTCTTAGCTGAGTGACTATTTACTCAGCAAGTCATTGCAAGTAGTCGGTGAAACGAGATGGCAACTTTTCAGCAATCCAGTATAATAGCCGTCACCAAGTATTTTTAAAAATCACGTCGGGAGCAAAAAATTATCAATGCGCTAGCGGAACTAATAACCTCTGCGCGTCCAATTGTGTATTTTGATATTCACACAAACGCCAAGAAGCAAGCGCCAGAAAGGTGTTCGTGTTGCGGAAGACGGAGCTCGAGCAAGTAATGAAAGAAAAAACTGTCGTGACAAGGAAAACATAATGGACAGAACCTTTCCTCTTCGTCCTTCAGGAACCCGTGGCGTGACTCATGCCCTCCTTCTTGTACCTCTTGTTCCGCAGTACAAAAGCTTCTCGTGCAAGGACTTCGGATGAAAATACGTGCACATACGTATACATGCTGCATAAGGTTATCGAGGATCACTCGCGCTTTCCCGCAACGCGAGAGCGTCTATTTTTTTCCTCTTTTTTATTTTTCCGTCTCTCTTTCTTGCGCTCCCTCATTTTTCTCTCACTCTTCGTGCACTCCCAAGCGTGATATACGCCAGGGAACTTCTCGGGGGTATACACACAAAGCGCCATTTCTAAATTGTTATTTTCCTCCACTTCCGTCCGCGGACGTCGATCCTCATTGATCGCGAGAGGAGAGGATTAATTTTCATCGCCACAGCGGCTGTCCGTTACACATCCTGCGGAGCCTCTCTACGCTTTTAGCCGTGAAATTTTCCTCGATCAAAAAAGTCCGAGTCACTATTTTTCCTGACGGCCGCTGTTAAAAGCTTCCGAATTGGTAGAAACGAGAATTTTCGCGGAAAAGGATGAACCAAAAGCTCAAACATTGATTGAGCGCGAAAACAAATTTAAAGAAACGCTGGGACAAACAGCAAGCGGAGCCCGGCGCGCGAAAAATCGAGCCGCACCCGAGTGATTAATTTTTCACGATGCGAGATACCTCGATATGAAACATTTCTCATCCAATAAAGCGCCCGAGCGCACCGAGCTCTCTGCCAAAGTTCATAAAATGCCTTTTCGCGCATACGTGAGGAGTGGGGGGAGCATCGAGGTAAACACGGGCAAACGAAGAAGGATAAGGCAAACGGAGGGAAAGTAATCTCGAGCCCGGCAACGCGGATGAGCAGTTGCGGTGCCACGTGCAAAGGGGATAAGAGTTTCGAGGAGTTTCGCGAAAAGTTGCACGAGCAAAGAGAAAAAGACACGCATCCTAGGGTGTACATCGAGAAACGCGCACAAACATGTAATACGCTGTACGGTACATGTGTATACAGCTTCCGCGAAACTCAAGGAAACATAGATCTTCAACTGGAAATCTTGAGTATACATATCGTTTGTCGATTCCATGTATACAGCAAATGTGAAGTATGTGATTAAACTGCTAAGACAGAATTGGGAAAACGTTTAACGAGACTTTTTTTCCCTTTCTTAAAATGTTGATTGACAAGGAGCTGTATTTGCTTTGAGCGCAATTCCGAAATCGCGCCCCCACTAGGCACTTTGAGAAAGATTGGTCGTGATTAGAAAAGGACAGTACTATGAATTGATTTCCATATGCTTGTAGAGGAGCGACGTTTAAGGGTTGGCCACCTGGTGAATGGAGCTGGAAGCTCGATTTCATAATAATTATCTTTTCTAATTACGACCAATCGTTCTCAAAGTGCCCAGTGGGGACGCGATTTCGGAATTGCGCTCAAAGCGAATAACCATGTCATTTGTCTCGTCATTAAAGAGCTATTATGGCAATTCACGTAATTACAAGTACTTACGCAATAATTTGATTTTATGGGGATATTTCTAATTAATCTGAAAGATTCTCTGGCGTTCACTTTTCTTGAATAATAAATAATAATACTGATAATAATAATAATAATAATAATAATAATAATAATAATAATAATAATGATAATAATAATTATAATAACGATAATAATAACAATAACAATAACAACAACAACAACAACAACAACAACAAAAACAACAATATGCTGTCGTTCAAGAATTGAATCAACTCCCTACTATCAGTAAATTATGAATCGAGTTTAGTATTTAAAAGATGGAAAATCAAACATAATAAATTAAAGTGTTAAACTTTCCACTCTTTTCTATAGTTTAATTCATTCTACATTGTAATATTTTTACTTTCATAGGTTAAGGATATTTTGTACCTATGAAATAATAGTTTACTAGATCTACACTATTTTTAAGTTTTTCACGGTTAGAGATCGATACTTTCAGTAAAAACAAGATCGAGATTTCTTGACAAATTGTGGGTTGTATAATAAGACAACATCGATTGCGTGTATACAAAAATATCTTATTAACAAGTGATATTTTCGGTATTTTTCAAGAAGAAGACCAAGATCTTTACAATCTCTTATTGTCTCGTTTTGCGGCAGTACTACGTATTATGTGCACGAAGAACGAAAAAGTAGCCGAGAAAAAAATGACGTACAAAGAAGAGAAGATATACAAACACTCCACCTGTAGCGGATAATACTGGGAACCGAGAAGCAAGTTTTCCGAGTAGTCGTGGCACGTGTATTGGTGTACTTTTTGACAAATGCACGCATGCACTGTAGGGGCATACTGCGAGTCGCGTGAGATATTGTTGAGCTGCTCTTGCGCAACGTTACCGAGTTTACTGGAGCAAATACTCTCGTATGCTAACAATAACATCCGTAAAAAGGAGGAGGAGGACGTATAAGAGCTCGGCGATCTGCTCGTTCGTTGTGAAACACGTTTGGATTTTGAGTGATCGCATAATAAATTCATCCACTTTTGGAAGGAATGGCTACGTAAGACATTCAATAAATGTCGGCTTATCATGGCTCTTGATGTAAACGCGGCTCTTCCATCGCGAAATTGAATGGTATTGATGAGCTTACGGCACTGCGATGTCTCGAAGAAGTAACGGTAAGCGTGGGTTTTACATAAGAAGGAAAAAGAAATGGTAAAAGGTCTGGGGGGTAGGGGGAGAAATCCCGGGAGAAGTAGATAGAAAACGACGAAAGTAAAGATAGTCGATAAGCGGATTCCTGCTTTGTAAGAAGAGAATTAGTAGGAGAGCGACGACAACGACGAGATGGGTATAAGCGTAGGGACGAGCTAGTGTATCGATCGAGTAGATGTTACCGCACGAAGACAACAGATTCAAGGAGACTTATCAGTCCAGAAAGAAAAATCACGTTAAATTCATTTTTTTTGGCATTTTTATAACACATATCTTTGCCATTTTTGGAGAAAAATTTCAACCTGGCCAGAACTTTCCAGCTGCGAATCACCAATTTGAATGAAACGTTGAAGTGTGTTTTCTTATATTGTAACAAAAAAGTTAGTCATTAATCGCACTTTAAGACTGTTAAAAATGCATGAATGTACTTTTAGTGCTTATATGTTACAGTCATATTTAGTACAAAAATATACTGACCAGACGAAAATGAAAGCCGATAATGGATGTTTTTTTGTTTGTTTTAAACTTCCGTTGGAAAGTTCCGGAAATTCGAAGCCGAGATACCGATACCGAGAGCATGATTAACATTGCCCGTTGATTTAATTTCAAGAAATTATTGGAGCTTTCATTATCTCTTGGCTACAACTTATTTCTACTGCAAGTAAAAAATACGCACCATGAAAAATACCTTAAAGTATAATCCAATTCCCAAAATCTGTGCATTTTCAAGTCTCGATGCATAAGTCCCAAAGTCATTTTAAGACAACAAAGAAAAAAATACGGTCATTAAATCGATGAGACAGATTAAATGTCACGAATGAAATTACATCCTCCCGGAATCAGAGTACATTATTTTGTGTACATTTCGGCCGTTGAAATCGCATATATCTAGAATAACTTCGAAACTCTGTTTAACGATTCGGAGAAAAAAAAGCAAAATTTAAAACCAAATAAGCAGAACCAGAGAAGGGGTTTCGGTGCACACAGCGTGTACATTGTTGAGCATACATTCAGCTCATGAATATTAAACTATCTCAAATCTCGAATAATCCGGGCCGCATAGTAATGAAAATAGCCATACAAGGGGTGGAGAGACAGAGAGAGGGCGATACAATTACAAGCACGAACAATAGCCCAGCAAACAACAGGGGCCGACTGCGGTTCCGAATCCACGTTTTTTGCAGAAAAAAGGACGCCAT